GAAGGTCTGGAAAATAGAAAACAACTTAGATCGATTTTTCATCAAAAATATCCAAGTGCACCTAGAATAATCATCAATGAAACTAACAAAGTAGCGGAATTCTAAGGTAGAACTAACCCGACTAGGACCCCAAACATCTGAATGTACTAAAGTAAGAGGTGACTCTGCTCGATTATCAAGACGTCGCGGGAAATGAGAGCGGGTATGCTTACCGAGCTGACACGACTCACACTCTAGAATGGACAAGTGAGATAAGCCAGGTACCATTTTATGAAGTTTTGACAAACTGGGATGTCCTAACCGTTTATGTAATAAATCTGGTGAATCAGTAACGGGACAAGTTATTGGAGGAAGACAAGATGCGAGTCCATGTGATTTTGCAAGGATAAGGTAATAAAGTCCATCTGATTCACGTCCGGTACCAATGATCCGCCCTGTACTACGTTCCTGTATAAAAGCAAGGTCATCAAGAAATAAAACAACATATTTAAGTGATTTGGCTAAGCGCCTAACGACTATGAGATTAAAAGGACTACCAAGAACATAAAGAATTGAGTCTAAAGGTAAGGAAGGAAGTGGACTTGCTTGATCTATTGCAGTTGTCATGGCTTGAGACCCATTGGCCATTGTGGCTGTTTGAAGAGATTGAAAATATGAAATACTAGTGAAAAAAGATTTGTTACCAGAAATATGATCATATGCACCTGAATCAATGACCCAAGACCCAGAAGGTGAAGATTGGGAGACACAAGTCATGCTACTATTTGTTGGAACAACGGAGGCTAATCTTGAAGATGTCTGTTTACGTGCTTTGTACTGAAGGAACTCAATATAATCCGGTAAAGAAACCATTTGGATTGGATTTAATGCATTCGATCCAGTGAATTGTGAGTCTAAGGCTTCTAATGAGAATGACATTATAATGTTCACGCCGAAAAAGGTCAGAAAATTGTTTGGAAATCACTGTTTCACTGTTATTGTTCACCGGAAACACTGTAGCTCGCCGGAAAATAAAAAAGTCGTCGGAATCTGATGTAAACTTGATGGGTAGGCTCGGAAAAGCAAGACGATTACACTGCCCAAAAGAAACTTTTTGAAATTCTGGCCGGAACAGCCCTCACGCGCCGGCGCGTGGGACAGACGCGCCGCCAGCGGTAGAACTCCTGCAGGCGTGTGAGGGCGCGTGGGTGAGTGTTTTCAGGTGGTTTTTTTCTGGGGTTTGGTCGCCTATCTCTTGGGGACCTTTTGGTGGTGTTGGATTTTGCACAACACTGATAATTAGTGACTTTGATGCAAATAGTAACTTAGGTCACCGGAAAATCTCACGGTGACTAAGTTCTTTCTTCCCGGGTGTTGCTGGAATGACGCACAACGATCTATTCTCACCAAAGCTCTGATACCATGTGAGAAAGCACGGGAGAAAATATTCTTGATTAATATATTGACAATGATACAATGAGCCCTATATATATAATACATGTCCTACTCCTAATACATATGGGATTAGGGCTATTTACTACTATTTAACTATCAAACTAGCGTTTGCCACTAGCTCAAGCCTCACTGTAATTATGTCGTGAGGCTAATTGAATCCAGTTGATTAATCCGGGAATATATATAATATAAAGTTAAAAAAATTTAGTTTCCTTCTTCCAAGTTTTCATAATTATTATATTTTTTCCTTTAATTGATTTGTCCGTATAAATCGTAGGACAAAAACAATGAGGGTCGAAAAAACCCAAAGTTGATCAAATCGACTAATATTACTTTATTTGGACCGTATAAATAGTAACACGTCTATGTTCAAAGTATTGTGGCACCCGCAATGTCCAAATCCTGGATTTGCCTCTCCATATATTGAACCTTCGTTTGAGTGGAAACATTGATATTTTGCCTGATTGTTTTAATAAGTTACTTTTTTAAGTTTGGTATCTTAATTATATGCTCAAAGACTCAGACATTCTTTTATACCCTAATTGAAGCAGCTATTTTAGTAATTTAGTTGCAGACTCAGTAGTAACTATGACCCTTTTCTTTCAACGAAATGTACTTAGCATAGTTGTTGATAACAATTCATCTAGTTCCAAGGCGAAAGGTAGTACAAGTAACAATTGGTTTGTACTGTATTTGATGGTTTCTCATATTACAGGTTGGTGACTTTGCAGTTGATAATAGAGCTGGCATTAGCAGAACTTTACACCGAATTAGTGCTATTAGAAACCGGAAAGGTGCAATTATTGGTTTAACTTGTCGAGTTGGCCGTGCATTATCTGGAAGTGCCAACTCGTTGCGAGATCTAGTTAAAGATGGTGCTTCTCTGCTGCTCATTGGTCCACCTGGAGTTGGAAAAACAACTATTATCAGGTTGAACTTCGTATTTGCGCTCATCTTATGCCATTTGATTTTTTATGCGCAATGACATGAACCAGAGAAACATTCCTGCTGTTTAACCTTGATTCTCCTCCTCCTTAATGTTAATCATTTCCATAACATATCTGATCGTGACATTGGAAAGAAAGTAATTTCGTATTGCTTCACATTTTGCCTCAATTTTGAGAATAGGAGGAAGTGATACCTAATAACAAAGGCAAACAGAAATCATTCTTCGAATATGTCCAATTCCAAATCAAACTTGCTTACATCTTTTTGCGAGTGATGCCACACAGCTGCTTCCTATCTCATTCAAGGTTGGAAACAGGCAGTGCTTTCCCATTGTGTGCATGTGTAGCTTGAAACCAGTGAATAGCTTGATTGTTGATTTTATATCAGGTCTTTGCCAATCCTGTGTGTGAAATTTTCTTGTTGGTGGAACAAAACACTTTTTTTGCACTTTGTGAATACTGCATGGTGGTCCTTAAAAAGCAGCTGATAATAGTATTACATATCTTCTAGTTTCCTCACAGTGTGATTCTTTTTACTTCTTCAACTCTTCTTTTTTCTGCATTTTTTTCCTGAAGTCTTTGTGGGCATATCCGGCTAGAGTTTTATGTCTGAAACTCGTCTAGACACATTCTCTTTGTTTATACTGTAGTTCAATGGAATGATGTGGAGATGAAGTTCTGAGAAAATTTATGAAATCCGCTCTTAGTTGGGGGTCTTGCATAAAGAGCCATTACCAGTTATTATGCATATCTTATCCATCTGTTTGCATTTTCTTCAAATGAGTGCATTTGTGAACATCTCTTATTCAGGGAATGCTTAGTTGTGTATTATGAATGTTGCTTTTGAATTGTGTTTTTTCTTGTATTTCTTCCTCATCGTCCCACATTTCTTTCTCAAAAATGTGATGGAAGGCTGTCAAACATTCTGTCAAGGATTCAGCTGTCTGAATGTTATTATCATTGTATCCTCACACCCGTGCCGTCTTGCATGCTTTCTCCTCTCATTTCTCTTTGGACTCAGATACATGTACAAAATCCTGCAGTTATAACATGTACTGCAATTGTGCATGTTGCACCTACTGTCACTATCAAACTATTTCCATGAGATTCTGCAGACGAGTATATAAGGATTCCTTTTTTATCTCCTAGGGACATAGCCAGGATGCTTGCAAATGATTATGGGAAGCGCGTAATGATTGTTGACACCTCTAATGAAATTGGTGGGGATGGTGATATACCTCATGCAGGAATAGGTAATGCTCGCCGGATGCAAGTTCCACACTCTGACGTGCAACACGAGGTAGGAGCTTGATCTTTCACTCAGTTAGCAAGATGAAAAAAAATTATTTTTTGAAAAGCTGTGTTGCCGCGACCGCTGTAATTTATTGTTGGATGAGGAATTCCATCTTACCACATTGATGGAAGCAAAATTAGAACAACATTTCCTAGATGAACCACTTTCCTGAGGATACACCTGGTGTGTGCTTTGGGTGGATCTGGCCTTCCGTTAAATGAGTGGCTCCAAATGTGAGCCAAGTGATCATCGATCAATGAGGATTGTTATTTATATATTTTTGTAGGTGCTGATAGAAGCAGTGGAAAATCATATGCCACAAGTGATTGTAATCGATGAGATTGGTACTAAACTTGAGGCAATGGCTGCCAGCACCATTGCACAACGAGGAATTCAGTTAGTTGCAACTGCTCATGGTGTAACAATAGATAATTTAGTGATGAATCCTGCTTTGGAGATGCTGGTTGGAGGAGTACAGGTAGTTATTGTTTAACAGATAAACCTTTTCCATAGTCAGTTGTACATTTTAACATTGGGGCTGATGCTTAGTAAATGATGAAAAAATGCTGTTATATTATGCATGGATAACCATGTCAATTTCTCAATGAAACTTCTCTTGTTACTTCACAGTAGTAGATAATAGAACGTCTATTTCCAAAGAAGCTAGTCAGATGTCTAGGGGCATCCAACTGTTCATAGTCGTATCAGATGTTACTTTTTCCCCTTTCTATATCTCATGAGTAGTGTGCAAAAATAATATCACTGCAATAAGGTGAACCAATGCATTCTCTACATTGTCTATGCAACTGCAACATGAGCGGTGCACGGAGGGTGAGTAAAACAAAAGAAAACTTAAATCACTGCAATAAACTGCACCAATGTATTTCGTTATCCAAGAAAGAAAAAAAGTGAACCAATGTATTCTCTACATTTTCTATGCAATTGCATCGTGAGTGGTGCCTGAGGATGAAGAAACAAGAATAAGCGAGAAACTGAAGATAAAAAACAATAATGCTTAAGGGCATCTACCTTGCTATGGTGATTGTCTGTATCTTTTATTGATGGGGAAGGTGTAGTGTTAATAGTTTATTTCAGTATCACATACTAAACCAATAGAACTTTGGAATCTAGTGGAAAAGTTGGTTTCAAAAGATGACACCAGGTCTAACTCTATTATTCCAAATGATGCCATCATACCATTAACGAGATGGCGTGATTCTCTACTCTCTCATGCACTATTGGACGATTTAGAAGCTGCTCTTTTCAGGTTTGTAAAATAGTTGCATTCATTTATTTCTTTATCAGAGTGTAACACTTGGCGATGAAGAGGCAAGCAGGAGAGGCGTTCAGAAAAGTGTGCTGGAGAGGAAGGGTCCATCAGCTTTTAGCTGTGGGGTTGAGATAATCTCCAAGGCAGAACTGAGAGTTCACCCTGATTTAGAAGCAACAGTAGATGCAATTCTTGCAGGTCTTTTACTAGTCCTCCCTCATCTCCTATGTCCTAACAAAATAAGTTGCTGATAAATCATTTCAGAATGCTAATGGGATGTTGTCTGCCATGGTGTTAATGTCATGTTGAGAAGGCCGTTACCCAAGATATGAAACACGCAAGATAAATCCAGGATCACAAGATGAAACAAGGAAAAGTTCATCCACCCAAGCACCATTTGATGAGAGAAATGAAGTTTTGGTTGAAGATATTATCCAGATGAATGGAGGTGTACCTGGTTCTACTGAGCTCATCTCAGAAACAGATTCAAGCATGGAAGGAGGGTCCGGTGAAAGTGAGAATGCCCTTTGCATTTTTCTATATGGGGTAAGATATTACGATTCACTTGCTCCCAAGGAAAAAAGAATGACGTCATAACTCTGAATATGTATAAATTTGGTAATAACTAAAATCTCAGTCTCAGAATCTGTTCTCTTATTTCAGATTTACTGCCGAGCTTGTAGTCAAATGGTTAAAAGGCCTTTAGAAGAGAATCAATTTCCAAAAGAGTTGAATTACCTCCTAGTACATGTTGGTTCTGCATTAGCATATTATTGTTATTTAATTTGCTGATAAACCTAATTTGATAACATCTCCAGTATGCTTAATTGCCTCTGTTCTCATGTTAAGGTCCCACATATCCCCCTTCCTCTGGGGAAAGTGCTTGGTGGCCCCAAAAATGAAGAGTAGATGCATCGAGCAGGAATGATTTTGTCTTTTGGCTGACTATCCAGATTCAAGCCCATCAAATATTTTTATTAAAAAATTCCTGGCAAAAAGAACTTCGTGTTCATCACTTCTTAACAAATAGTTGCTGGCAGAGTCTCGTCACTCCTTGTATAGGTGGAAAAGAGGGGAGATTCTTCTTTGCAAAGCTCCTTAAGATGTCACTCATTAAAGTAATTGTAAAAGATTAGTTTTAAAATTGTAGAGCTTCCTCTTTCAAATTTTATATCATTTACACGTATTAAAGAAAAAAAATTATGTCATTTATTGAAGTATTTGAGTTAGTCTGATCAGCATGCGGGGCAAAGATAGTGGCACAAGTCTCATTAGAAAGCTCTTTTTTTTTTATGCTGTAAGATTCTTAAGTTCTATGAGGGAAAGTAAGGCATGGAATAAGAGATTCTTATGGGGGGAAAAATAACAGAAGAGAGGAAAAACTGTGAAAAAGCTTCCTTCAGCTTCTATATGAAAACTTCTCGTGGAACTCATACTTGAGCAGGTATTGTAGATCTCAGAGGCAAGTGTGATACAAGGGATAAAACAGTTAAACATCGATGACGCCATTGAGTTTACTGATAATATCAGCGAAGCGGATGTGTTACTTGCTCTGCAGTCCAAGCTTAAGAAAAACTCTCGGATTCAAGCAGCTGCAAAATCTCACGGCATTCCTATTTATATGACAAAGGTATTTGTTAGAGAGAACTTGCAATATCTATTCACTGAATGAAAGTTCCGAAGAAAGAAGGGAAAAACAAGATGAGTTGTTTCATGCGTTATCTGTTGTCTCTTCAGAGTTCAAATTCACTATCATTGTGCCCTTTATATGAAAGTATCTTTTTCTTTTGCAGACAAGCTCCTCAACGCAGTTAACAAAGGCCATACAGGCATTAATAGTTGATTTTGCTGATGGCTTTGAGTTTCTCGAATCTGAAGCTAAGACGAATGACTCTGAAAAGATTGATGCATTGGAGGTAATTTCCCCTTGTATTCTTTTTTCTAGTACTTTTTTCGGGAAAAAACAGTTTTGAAAACTCTAGCTGCTAATCTCCACCAATATGATAATGGGCATTGCATGATAAAGTGGAGTGATGACTACTCTTAAGTTGGCTTTTCACTTTATGATGAAATGCTAATTTTCACTATCTGGAAAACATGGAGGTTCCAATGAAATCATTGGTGTCGTTTGCCTGTAACATATCTACTGCACCATCTTCTCATGCTGTGTAAGGACATTTGATGTTTGCAATGAAACAAAAGATAAAGTGAACTTCAACTTGAGATTAACCAAGTCTGTGTTTTCATTATTTTTTATGGAAAAAAGTCTATGTTTTCATTTCAAACTAACTGCTACTTGAAACGGAAACGAGATGAAGTTTTCATTCCAGACTAATGTTTTAAATGTTTGTGTGAAGTGTCTTCTTGCTAAGGTCTCATCTGAAGGTAGTAGTCAAAAAATATGTTATCCTACTAGCTAGAATCTAATGCAGAATGCTGAAGGAGTGTGAGCATTCAAATTAAGGTCATGGGTTGCTTACACTGTCAATTTTCCAGAGGAATTCTCTTTGCAAATTAGACAAGCTTAATTAGCCAACAGATTGAAAAAGTATCAACTTGCTAATACTCTTCCAAAAAAAGAATTAACTACCTGAACTGCAAAGGCCCTTTCTTTTATTAGGAAATGGAGTTCGTCACCATCCACATTTTGCACTCTAGTTACTAGAACTTCATTACAGTTAAAACTAACTTGTAATGCTTCTGGATGTAGTCGTAAATGGGTGTGGGGCTTGAGGATAGTGTCTACATGTAATGTTAGTTCATTATAATTATTGCTTGAATCGAAATTGAACTGATATTCATTAGCTCAACCAAATAAACAGAAGAACAAAGCAGAAAAAGAAAAAGAACTTATCAGCGAAGAAGGGAAAAGAGTGGTTGCTATCCTGATGGATCCAGCACTGTATTTGAATAATCTTCTGTTGATAATTCCCATCTGTCCTGAATAGTTATCTATGTTGTCAGATAAATCAACCAATAATTTCATTACCGGAGTTATTTCTGTTAGAATAGTTATGTGAATATATGTAATTAGTCCTAGAAATAATCTTGTAAATGCTCCCCACAAGACTAATAGGCCTGTAGTCTCTGATACAAGATGCACCTTCTTTCTTAGGCACAATAGTAATAAAATAAGTATTGATGCTTCTCTCGAAAACACCATTCACATGGAAGTATTCAATGGCTTCCATCAACTTTCCCTTGATGGTATCCCAACAGAGCTGGAAGAAGGCCAAGGAGAAACCATCAGGCCCGGGGGCCTTATCACCAGCACAACTTGACACAGCCTCGTGCACCTCTTCCTCCTCGAAAGCCCTTTCTAGTCACTCACTGTCACCCTCCCCTATGTGGTTGAACTCTATTCCCCTCAAAGCCGGCCTCCAACTAACTTCCTCTTTGTATAAGTTCTCATAAAACCTCATCCACAACTAAGGACTCTATGAAGTTTCTCCTTCGATTTGCAACCGCCACCCTATGGAAAAACTTGGTATTCGAATCCCCCTCCTTTAACCAGAACGCCCTCGATTTTTGCCGCCAACTAGTCTCTTGAGCTATTGCTAACTCGACTAATTCCCTCTTAACCTCCCCCAATCTCGCTTTCTCAGATTCATCTAACTCCCTCGCCCCTTTCCCTCTATTTAATTCCCCCAATTCATGCATAAGTTCCCTCATTTTAACCTCTACCCTCCCAAAAACCTCCTTATTCCACCTAATAATATTTCCCTTGAGCAATTTAAGTTTCTTCGAAAGACGGAATGAAGGTGTCCCTGGTACCCCGTAACTTGTCCACCGTTCTTTCATTTTGTCACCAAATCTTGGCACTTTCAACCACATGTTCTCGAATCGGAAGGGAGCACGCACCCCCCTCCCTCTGCATCCGTCTAGCAAGATAGACAAATGATCTGAAGTCCGCCTAGGTGAAGGAATCTGCAGCACATTCGGCACCAGCTCATCCCAGGAGGGCGATATCAGAAATCTATCAAGTCTAGACCTTGAGTTGGAATCCTCTGCCCTGGCTCAAGTAAACCTTTCCCCTGACAGAGTAAGATCAATGAGAAAGTGGTCATTGATGAAGTCAGAAAACTCCTCTATGGCCCTCAAAATCAGACTACACCCTAATCTCTCCTCCGGAAATCTAATAGTGTTAAAGTCTCCCCCTAGAACCCATGGAATATCCCATTCCCCCATCACATTGGCCAGTTCTTCCCAGAAAAATACCTTGGACCCTTCTCCTACCGGTCCGTACACTCCCCAAATCCCCACTCCACCCCACTCACCCTATCTTTGATAAATGCTGCTAAAGAAAAAACTCCATTCTTAATCTCCTTTACCTTCAAGCTTCTATCATCCCACATAAGAAGAATGCCCCCAACACTTCCCACTATTAGAATCCAGTCATATTTTACCCAACTACCTCCCAAACACTCGTCACAATCACATCCGACAAAACCTCCATTTTTGTCTCTTGAAAACAAACTAGGTTAGCACCCCACCCTCTAACTCCCACTTTGATGGTGACCCTTTTGTTTGGGTCATTCATCCCCCTCACATTCCATAAAAGAATCTTAACTTCCATAAGTAACAATATCCCCCTTTTCCCCATCCCCTAGCCGAGCTCCCTTCCTTCTTGTCACATACCCGACCCCTTCTCTGGTACACCACTACATCCCCTAAGTTAGTTTGCTTAACACCTTGGCCCAACTCCCTCCCTACACCATCATAGAAAGACTGTTGCCCAATCTCCCTCAACAGTTCTAGCACATTATCTTCCTTCCCTTCAAAAGAAACACCTAAAAACTTCCCGAAGTTTAATAGTTTATCCTCCATCCAGAAGGACATATCCCCTCCTCCAATCCGTGACGAAATTGGACATACATCTTCTATATGTACCTTTTTCTTGCCCCTACCAGAAGAATACAAGACCATAGCATTGCTAGCAATAAGAACTTTAGGTGCCGGAAGGGTCGCACCAGAATGCGTTTGTGGAAGGTAGGCAGATCCTGGATGCTGCTTTGATGACAAATGAACTTATAGACTCCTAAAGGAAAAATAGAGAACCCGGCTTACTATGCAAGTTGGACCTTGAAAAGGCTTTCGACCATGTCAATTGGGAGTTCCTGGATTTCATTATGATGCGGATGGGGTTTTGGGGCAAGATGGAGGGGATGGATCAAGTTTTGCATTTCCTCAGTCAGATTCTCTGTCCTAGTTAATGGTAGCCCGTGTGGTTTCTTTGGCAGCTCCAGGGGTCTCAGGCAAGGGGACCCCCTATCCCTCATGCTATTCATTCTAGTGATGGATGCTCTGAGTAAAATGATGGACCGTGCGGCGGGCGGTGGCTTCTCGAGAGGATTCTCAGCTCCGATCGGGGTACTCAGTGCCCAAAGAGTCTCTCATTTGCTCTTTGCGGATAGCACCCTGGTTTTCTGTGATGTCGATATGGATCAGTTGACTTGCCTGAAGCAAGTCTTCTAGTGGTTTCAGATAGTATCAGGACTCAAAATCAACCTCGGCAAGTGTGAGATTTTCCCGGTAGGTGAGGTTGCTAACATTGATGCTTTGTCTTATGTTCTCAGATGTAAGGTGGGCTCCTTTTCCACTACTTACCTAGGTCTCCCATTGGGCGCTTCGCATAAGGACTAAGGGTTGAAAAAGATTAGCGGGCTGGCAGAAACGGTACTTGTCTAAAGGCGGTAAGGAAATGCTTATTAAAAGCATTTTATCAAGTATGCCCACCTATTACTTGTTTTTGTTGCAAGCTCCCGTGAGCATCACAGAAAAACTGGAGCGGCTTCAAAGTAATTTTCTTTGGGATACGGCGGATGGAACTAGAAAGTTTCATCTGGTGAATTGGCAGACAGTCACTTCCCCAAAGAAGTAGGGTGGACTTGGAGTAAAAGGTCTTACGGTATTCAACAGAGCTTTGTTGGGGAAGTGACTGTGGAGATTCGGGGTAGAAGAACATGCTCTATGTAGGGAGGTCATAGTAGAAAAGTACGATTCCACGGGAGGGGGTTGGAGGACTAAGACAATCACAACACTTTTCGGGTGTGGCATGTGGAGGAGCATCATGAAGAATTGGGAAGCCTTCAGTGGCAACATCACTTGTGGGTGGGAGATGGAAGGAGAAACAACTTTTGGAATCATAGGTGGTGTGGAGAGGATATTCTGAAGGTCTCTCTCCCCACGTCTTCAGAGTTTCAAACCAGAAGGAATTGATGGTTCAACAGATTCGTAAGGAGCATGAAAGAGGGATAGTATGAGACCTCTCATTTAGAAGGAATATGCAAGATTGGGAGATTGCAGAGCTCCAAGATTTGTTGACACTGCTATATAGGCAAGACACCCTAGCCATCTCGTGATTCTTGGAGTTGGAGTTTGAGTGACGATGGTTTGTTCACCGTAAAGTCCTTTTACCAGAGCATGTTGGTGAGAGAGGAGGCCACTTTTCCATACTCCTCGATCTGGATTCCTAAGGCGCCCACGAAGGTGTGCTTTTTTGCATGGCTAGCGGCGAGGGGAGTGATTTTGACTACTGAAAATCTGCGAAAGAGAGTTACACTTGTTAGTTGGTGCTACATGTGTAAAAGCTCAGGGGAAGAAGTTGATCATCTTTTGTTGCATTGCCATGTGTCCTCGGTTTTGTTGAGGGCAATCTTGAATCTTTTTGGCGTTCAATGGGTGATGCCAAGTTCTGTAAAGGAAATGTTATATAGCTGAGCCGGTTTTTGTAGAAGAAAGCAAAAGGCGTGAAAGTTTGCCCCGTTAGCACTCATATGGATAGTTTGGGGGGAGAGAAATAGGAGAGCTTTTGAGGGGATTGAGTCTCTTTTTCACATCTTAAGAATAGTCTTTTATCTTTGATCGCTTTTTGGTGCACTCATATAGCTCTTGTATAGGAGATTGAGCGTCTTTTGTAGAGAATCATATTCTGATGTAAATTCTCTACTTTTTGGTATACCTCTTGTATACGGGAGTTCTCTCCCTTTTGATTAAAACAATTAGTCCTAGTCCCTTATGTAATAGGAGTAGGTTATGTGTTATGAATACATATAAATAGGGCTCATTGTAACATAGAATATTAATCAATACTCCCTCTGTTTCATATTAGATGAGGTACTTTCCTTTTTAGTCTGTTCTAAAACAAATGACACATTTCTAAATTTGGAAATAATTCAACTTTAAACTCTTTATTTTACTCATTTACCCTTAATGAGAAGCTTTAATAGCCACACAAATGTCATGGCCCCACAAATCTTTTACCCCTTAAGCTTTTAAGACCACAAGTTTCAAAAGTCTTCTTCTTTTTTCTTAAACTCCTTGCCGAGTCAAACTACCTCATCTAATATGAAACGAAAGGAGTAATATTTTTCTCCCGTATATTTTCACATGGTATCGGAGCGTTAGTAAGAAAACATCGTTGTGCGTCATTCCGACATTAACCGGGAAGAAGCAACTTAGTCATCGTGCAATTTTTCCGGTGACCTAAGGCCTGTCTACGTGAAAGTCATTTTCTGTCGGTGTTGTGCAAAAACTAACACCATCACGAGGTAGATCACCCCTCAACGACCAACCCGTTAAAATTTCTCTAGCAGTAAAGCTGCCACGCGCCGGCAATAGAAATTTTCCGGCAAAGGTTCTGACCTACGCGTCGGTGCGTGGGCCACTTTCCGACCACTTCTTCGCGAAACTCTTTCAGGACAACTTGCTATCCTCACAATTTCGAGCCTACCCATCTAGTTCAAATCAAATTCCGACCACTTTTATATTTTTCCGGCATGAATAGTAATTTAAAAAAATCTGTTTTTTTTTCCGGCGTAAACATTACAATGGCATTCGTATCACAAGTTTTTGACTCACAATCCACTGGATCCAATGCAATTCAGATGGTTTCTATACCCGATTATATGGAGTTCCTTCAGTATAAAGCATGTAAACAGACATCTTCAGGGATAACTTTCGTTGTTCAAACAGATAGTAGCATGACTTGTGTCTCCCAATCTTCAACCTTTGAGTCTTGGGTCATTGATTCAGGTGCATCTGATCATATTTCTGGAATGCAGTACATGGCGGATCATTGGTACCGGACATGAATCAGATGGACTTTATTACCTTATCCTTGCAAATTCACATGGACTCGCATCTTGTCTTCCTTCAATAAATTGTCTTGTTACTGATTCACCAGATTTATTACATAAACGGTTGGGACATCCCAGTTTGTCAAAACTTCAGAAAATGGTACCTAGCTTATCTCACTTGACCACTCTAGAGTGTGAGTCATGTCAGCTCAGTAAGCATACCTGCTCCCATTTCTCGTGGCGTCTTGATAATCGAGCAGAGTCACCCTAGTCGGGGCAGTTCTACCTTGGGATTCCGCTACTTTATCAGTTTCATTGATGATTATTCAAGGTGCACTTGAATATTTTTGATGAAAAATTGATCTGAGTTGTTTTCTATTTTTCAGACCTTCCATGCTGAAATTCAAAATCAATTTGGGGTTTCTATCCGCACATTTTGTAGTGATAATGCCCTAGAGTATTTGTCTTCCCCATTTCAGCAGTTTATGAACTCACATGGGATTATTCATCAAACATTTTGTCCGTACACATCCCAACAAAATGGGGTACCTGTAAGAAAGAATAAACATCTTATTGAAACTGCTCGTACCCTACTCATACAATCTCATGTTCCGCTGCGTTTTTGGGGAGGTGCAATTCTTACATCTTGCTATCTTATTAATCGTATCTCTTCAGCTATCCAGAATCAAGTTCCATTCTCTGTCCTGTTTCTCCACTTACCTTTGTTCTCTCTTCCACCCCGTATCTTTGGGAGTATGTGTTTTGTTCATAACCTTACTCCAGGAAAAGATAAGTTAGCTTCTCGTACTCTTAAGTGCGTATTTCTGGGTTACTCGAGAACGCAAAAGGGATATCGATGCTATTCTCCTGACCTCCAGCGGTATCTTATGTCTGCTGATGTCACCTTCTTTGAAACCCAATCATACTTCACATGTCCAGGTAATCACTTAGATATTTTTGAGGTGTTACCAGTTCCGTCTTTTGGAGATTCAGTCCCTATCTCCCATTCATCTTCCTCCATAGCTCCAGTTGCAGCTCCCCACCTATAGCTCCAGTGCCACCACCTAGTCCAGTTCCACCAACTATAACTCCAGTGCCACCACCTAATCCAGTTCAACCTTCTACAGCTCCACCACTCCTGACTTATCATCGTTGTCTGCGCCCAACATCAGGCCCAGCTGATTCACGTCCTGCACCTGACCTTGCTAATACTGCGGACTTGTCTCCTCTTAGTCAACCGATTGCACTACAAAAAGGTATTCGGTCCACACTTAATCCTAATCGCCATTATGATATTAGTAAATTGAAGCAACATCTCTTTCAGCACTTTCAGACCAAGGATCCGGGCAAATTAAAATATTTTCTGGGTATTGAGGTCGCTCAGTCTAGCTCAGGTATTGTGATCTCACAACGAAAGTATGCCGTCTTAGATATTCTTGAAGAGACAGGGATGACAGGTTGTAGACCTGTTGACACTCTGATGGATCCGAATTCTAAACTTCTGCCAGAACAAGGGGAGCCTCTTAGCGATCCTGCAAGATATAGACGGTTGGTTGGTAAATTAAATAACCTCACAGTGACTAGACCTAACATTTTCTTTCCTTTGAGTGTTGTGAGTCAGTTTATGGATTCTCCCTGTGATAGTCATTGCGATGTAGCTGTTCGTATTCTTTGATATATAAAATCAGCTTCAGGCAAAGGTTTATTGTTTGAGGATCGAGGCCATGAGCAGATCGTTGGTTACTCAANAGATGGGACTTGTGTGTGATAATCAAGCTGCTCTTCATATTGCGTCAAATTCAGTGTTCCATGAGAGAACTAAATACATTGAGATTGACTGTCACTTTGTTAGAGAAAAGATACTCTCGGGAGATATTGCTACAAAATTTATGAAATCGAATGATCAGCTTGCAGATATTTTCACCAAGTTCCTCACTGGTCCTCGTATTAACTACATATGTAACAAGCTCGGTACATATAATTTATATGCACCGGCTTGAGGGGGAGTGTTAGAATAGTTATGTGAATATATGTAATTAGTCCTAGTCCCTTATGTAATAGGAGTATGTTATGTGTTATGAATACATATAAATAGGGCTCATTGTAACATAGAATATTAATCAATAATATTTTTCTTCCATGCATTCTCACAATTTCAAAGCCGTGTGTGGATTTTGCAGGAGGCTAGAATAGCCATGGAGCGTGTAGTAATTCCAAAAGGGGAACAAGTTGAGCTACTCCCTAGGCCATCAAATATTATATTGCTTCAGAAGGATCTTATTAGGAAGTACAAGCTAAAATCAGAGCGAATTGGAGCAGGGACGGATGTAAGGCTTCGAATTCTCCCTTTCTCCGGTGCATCTGACGAAGACAGTCGGGATAGTGAAGGAGTTGATGATGAGAGCGAAGTTGATGAATTATTGAGGCCGAATGCTGAATCAAATGGATCTGCCTATACGTTGGACAGATTACCTCTACTACCTGAATAGAAAATAGATTGTTTTGTTTTAAAGCAGTTTGTCTCTAGCAGAGCAGAAATGTCTTACTATCCAGCACACCTTACATAGTGCATCCCTCAACATCTATTGAGCATATTCTGAATCTATTGGGTATAAATACAAATGGTTACCTACATATTTGGGTTTGGATTCTGATATTTTTTATTATGGCCCTCAAATTGTTCGAATTCTCAAGCTTCTACTTTATGAAACTCAAGATGTATATCAACAGAGCTGCCCTTCCATATAGATATGGTTATTATCTTAGACCGATGCTTCATCTGCTTCTTTAGTTGGACTTGTTTCACGATATTGCGTAAGCTCCTGAATATGAAGAATAATCACATTGTTGAAAGGATCAAAAGGTTCCTAAGCTAGGTTCCATGATCCACGCGTTCCTAGACAGGCTTAAATGGATGAATGAACTTTCAAAAACTCAGCTCTTATGAAACTCAAGATTTAATTTTATTATAAAGCCAATATTTCCAGATCAAGTAATGAAACCTTTGCAGGAAGAAGCGAACATAATGAAGTTGTAGCATGGTTGGTGATAATTCAATGAACCTTTCGTTTAAGTTTGCTGTGTAATTAAGTGATAATTCAAATAAACGGTATATGTTGGTTCTCAATAAAACAAAGGCTATCCTAAATATTTTCCACAATATTATATATGCTTCAGCCAATTTTTTTTTTTTTTTTATAGCTGTGTTAATTCACCTATACCTTCAAGCATGTACGTAGTACCTCTCAATTGGTCTGCCAATTGCTGAAGAGGCAAAATGATTGGATACTGAGATGTGTGACATAAGAAATGTATAAAGAGATATTATTATTCTTAAATAATTATCATCCGATAATGACTTCATGTCTCAATCACAACATCACTATAGGACTTAAAATGGAAAAGGAATGCAAGTAAATCTTAATCCATGTTGAGGAGCACTGTGGTCATTCATATTACACATTCCTTTCCTATTCTTGAATACTGTGCTTTCTCTACATGTCTCTTCAGGAACTTTTTCAAGAATTAGATTTTTTAACGGATATACTCGAATTGCAACTTTTGACTAGAACCTTATGTATAGAAAAATAAGTATAAAGTTGGCTAAAAATATACTTCACCAGTTCAAGTTTATTTGGGACCATTTTTTTTAATTCGTTCAAAAAGAATGACAACTTTTTATATATAAAAATGACTAACTTTTTTTAAAAAATATGGAATGGATTGAACTTAAACCTTTTGTTTGATCTATAATCAAAAGTTTTAAAACTACACAAATATTGGAACGTTTAATATCTCAAGTTTCAAAAGTCTTATAACCACAGAAATATTATGGCATGTTCATAATCAAAAACTTCAAAAATCTTTTTTTATTTCTTAAAGGCACTCCGTGCATGTTCAAACATTGTGACGTAAATTGAAACGGGAAAAGCCTTTTAAACCCACATCTTCACCTCAAAATTCACTTCTAAATCCAGGACCCGCCACTAAACACGATGACTCCTCAAAATTGAAGACTAGTACCCTAATGATGCTTAGGGTCAGGTCCGCCGGGACTAAACCGGTTTACATGATACTTAAATGCATCTTTTCTCTGCAATCTTTCCCTCAAAATTTCCTGAGCGGTCTCCATTAATGTATTCCTCCTCCTTGTTGAAAATGGCTCGAGAGGGCGACTTTCGGAGCATATACATGAAATCAAGATAAGAACGAAACAGAAACAAAATCTTAAACTAGCCATTCTTGAAATTAGACTTAAGTTGTAATATTATTGCATGAAATGTAGGGAGATATATTGTGCTGCAACGTTTGAACTATATATAGGCAACCAGATATAGTCCTAAATTTCATAATATTTAATTGACTAGCTAGGGGTTCAAATAAGACAATACTAAAAGTAGTACAACTAGTGACACGTACACTTGTTTAAAACGAACTTTCTAAATCCATTTTCCTTCTACTTTTACACACCATTTGATCTCAAAAATATAAAGTAAAACTAAAGTTGAATATTCTATGCACCTTTCTTTCTGCTGATTGTGTGCAGTATATTTTCTGCGCAGTTGAATTCTTTTAGCAACGTCACTAGTCATAACCTGGTGCTAATTATATTGTACCAATGGATATTCAAATTCGTGCTAATCAACACATGGTTAGTTAGGCGTAAGAGAGGAATTGTCTGGTTTTCTTGTTATCATGTTGTTTATTGCTTTTTGTTACTGTGTCTTTTTTCATGGCTTCCTCGTGACTGTATGTTTTTTTAATTATGTTATGACTATGCTTTTTCTGAGTCGAGTGTCTATCAAAATCAGTTTCTCTACCTCCACAAAATAGGACAAGATTTGCGTATATACTATTCTCCCCAGACCCTACTGTGTAAGATTACACTGAGTTTATTATTGCGGTAATTGATTCAATTGTACGGATTTAAACCTTCACTTTCCCCTGTTAAGGTCCTGAAAGGTCATTCTAACACAACTTTTCACAGTTATTTTATTCGACAATTAGGTAAGCCAAGATTCCCCTGTCTTATGCTCTTTTGTGAATCAAGATCCTCGTGTGCCTAATCTTAATTAAGTTTGGGTATTGGAATTACACGCATGATATATATACATCCAAACATACGTCGCGTTGGTGCTATGGATATATATGTTCAGTTTCATTGCGCCTGTCACGATCTGGAATTCTCATCCTCGAGAGTCGTAATGACGCCTACTCGTAGAAGCTAGGCAAGCCACGAACTTAGAAATCATTAGCTCCTTTATTTTAAAACTTCTTACCAATTATATTAACAAGGAAATAAACAGTTAAATAACAGCGAAATATGAGATTTAAGCGGTAGTCTTAAATAAATATAAAACCAGAATGTTTCGAAAGTCAATACATGCCTCTACCCAGAACCTGGTGTCACAACATCCACGGACTACTAAGAGTACTAAATACAACCGTTTGAAAGAAATATAACAGTGTTTGTCTCGAATACTTGAGATAACAGAATATATAATAAGATAGAGGAGACGCCGGGCCAGCGGACGCCTGCGAGGCTACCTCGATGTCTCGGTGGACTGAAAGATGGCTCCCGAGCTACTGCTACTGATCAAGTGCCGCTCCGGTATCTGCACAGAGTGCAGAGTGTAGTATCAGCACAACCGACCCCATGTGCTGGTAAGTGTCTGACCTACCCCGGCGAGGTAGTAACGAGGCTAGGACCAGACTCTAGATAAACCTGTGCAGCTATATAATATACAGCAGAGATATAAACAGGTAACAACAGTTTTAAAGGGAGGAGGAAACATGCTTCGGGAAACATATCAATTATATCAGAAACTTAATAAAGTATGGAGAAAAACTCGACGTCTACAATCAATACAATAACAATACTGTTGTGGCGCGCAACCCGATCCCTTATCATTTAACATTGTTGCGGCGTGCAACCCAATCCACATATATAGCTGTTGCGGCGTGCAACCCGATCCA